TCTGTCATATGATTTTTCTCAGGTGTCGAAGTAGCTGTGAAATCAAACACATCTTGTACAATATTCTCCGCTTCCCTCTTCTTATGTGATTGGCCAGAAGCGCTAAAGCAAGATTTTTCGTCCTTTATTACAGAAGAGATGGTCTCATTTGAAACACTAGATAAGTCTTGGGTAGCTGATTCACACAATAATTTCTTTTCCCTATTCCTCTGCCTAAACCCATCACTAATGCTTTTCTTAAATTTCTTGTCTAAGAAATCGTCCATTGGCTCGATGTCCACGTTATCAGCTATACGCTGGTCTATTACAAGATCAGGTATATCATTCGAAGCGAAACGTCTCTCAGACTTAGCTGGAGATATATCTTCTTCAACAGAGCATGAGTTCTGAACATTAGTAACATACTGGGGTTGCTGAGGCCTCGTGAGGTTGGAGGAATTGAAATCATATCTCAATTTGGCTAATTCGGCTTTAAGCTCAGCATTTTCGGCTGAAATATCTGCACTATTTTTCTTCAATTCCTCGATTCTGACCTTGTGTTCAGAATTCTCAGCATCACACCTGGCATTCTCCTCAATAATCCGTTTCAATTTCGAATTCTCATTCTTAAGCTCAGCATTCTCGCCCTTAAGCTCATCTTTTTCAGCTTTAAGGTTGGCAATGCGTTGTTCCAATAATTCAAGATTTGACGACATGATTGATAATACTTTTATAGAAGATATGTAATATTCAAAAGTCTGTTAGTATATATTTAATTCTGCTAAAAATTTGAGTGACGGGAAGTGTGTTTCCCGTCATGGAAAATTGCCAAGAAAAATTTTTTATTAATAGGGGGGGAGGGGTAATGGCCATCATACAAGTAGGCATCATTATGACAAACTTATTCGTTGTCTCTCTCTTTCGAGGCGACGATAAATTTTTTTGGCATGCTTGGAGCAATAGCCTGTATAAGATAATATAGGTTTATCACATATTTTACAAGGATATTTTAGTATATTATTTGCACCTGATTTCCAATGGAGCGAACATCCTGTCAAGCGGGTGCAGACTCAACCACAAATACTTCCATCTTTTTTAATATGGGGACAGGTAATACGATCTATTTATTATATTTTTGCACCTTTCACAATATATAGAATTCGAATTTCAAAATGAGAAAATCCTAATTGAACTGTGGTGGAAAAAGTATATCATAAATGATAAATCATATATCACAGCATAAATCATCATCTATGGACGCGGAAAAAACAATACTTAACATTCTAACCGGCCGATAGATCGATCCAAGCAAAAAGCTATTCCAGAAGTTGATTCGTGAGGGCTATAAATATGTTGATAGACTCTCATATTATTTAGAAGATGTTGGAATCATATATATAGGTGAATTTGAGCTGGATCCCTTAGCCGACTTCTACCACCCAGCTCTAATTCCGCCTTTATCAATCTTAGCGAGCAGAGCGGATATTCGTAAAAACTTTCCTATTAGTGTAGAATCTGTTGCTATGGAAGGAATGAGTCTATTTACTCTAGAAAAAAATAAACGATCTTCACTCCAGAATCTAATCCAAATGAACTATTCCATTGATAACTTGACTATGTTAATAGGAATAACTTGGGAGCAAGAAGAGATGAAAACTTGGAGGAATGACGTGCTTATGAAATTCCTCCATTATTCAAATTTAGCTTCTTTAAAGCATAGATCAGGTGCATTATATGATGCATTTACCAAGACGAATGTTTTAGGGCCAGGACATATACTAGCTCTAGCACGAATGTTTTATTAAAATGTTATTAGATACAAATTAATTTGTTTATAGCCTTGGAATGGCAGTTCCATGACTATATGTTTTCGCTTATCATATATACCTGTAAAATTCAATTTTTTTATTAATACATGTCTCAGCAAATTCTTCTGAGCTGGTGATCACCGCTCTGGACTGGCTGGCTTAGAAGAACAATCATCTTTTTGCGCAAACTCTAGCTCCTGTGTCAATCTATCCAATGTT